ACTGCTTGCAACGTTTCCTTTTCCTGTAATCTCTATAGGCCAAAACAATAAAATTATATAAAAAAAGAGTCAAATACATTACAAATCATACAAAAGCATATTGTTCTATAACCAAGCCTTATTGTGAAGTAATTACACATGATTGATTGGCAGGGAGAAACACAAGATCTCAATATTTGCTCACACTTTAGTCTGGGGACCAATTCTGACTATATTAACTAACTCCTAACTACGACATTTGCATCAATAAACTCCTAATTAGCTTCTTATTAATAGTTAATAAGGCTGTTAAATTTAGGTATGGTGTAGGATTAAGGGATCTAAAATATGGTCATGCAAAATAAGGCATTACTATGCGCTTTATAAGTATTAATAAACTAGTAGTATGCATGCTAATGAGCAGTTAGTTAACAGTGAGAATTGGTGCCTAAACTAAAGTGTTACCCACTATTCTATGCCCATTTATAAACACCAACAAGTTCATGTAATGTTCAGAGGTGATGTGACACAAATATAGCTTCATCAACAAATAAAATCTCTCAACTGACTAATGAATATTTACTGATATTTCAACTTTTAAAATGGGATACTTGCTACCTGGGCTAACCTGTTTCAAATTAAACTACTTTAGGGAATGTTTGGCTTAACTAGCAAAGTTGGACAGATGATGTGTTGGTCATTCTGGCTCTTTCCTCATAAACAGTGATCAAAGCAGCCGCCCAGCCTTTTCACAGATCTACACGAGTGTGTGTATTTCACCCTAGTTTAGGTTGGACCAGGACCACAATTCTTCTCTTTCAATATTGAACAGCAATGTCAACAATGCTCTGTTTCAGCACAATACAATGTGTGCTGGTTTGTAAACAAATCTGTAATTTACACATCAAGAAAATATGAAATTGAAGTAAAACGTGGTTGACCTCTATTTTTAGACAGCCCTGTCTGGGTGGGCGTTTGTGTCACAGACCTCCCTCTTTTACAGGAACAGGAAATACTGCAGATTGCCTGGGAGTTGATACTCTGCCAACTTTAAATGCCACCTCTAAAAATATCCAGCAGGAATGTTCGGCTTGGCAAAGGAGTAAGGTCGGTGGCCCATGGTTTGTCGCCACTCCGAAAGCCTATTTTGACACGACAGCCCCCTTTGAGTGTAATCTGAAACTCTTCCTCTGTTACCCTCGCTATCTTTCTCTCTCTGTACAGCTCTTTCTGCCTTGGGACTCTCTTATGGCACTTTGCAATGACACTGGACCTTAGAGGGACGGGTTAAACAGAAGAGGGGCTATTCACAGCATCCCCAAGGGTGGCTCTTTTTGTGGAATCTGTTCTGGGAGAGGGAGACACACCATCGCCTGCTTGTCTGAGGCCTAAAAATACCTGGCAAAGGTAGCCATGCCGGAGCTGCGTGATGGGGGTTATTTTGCTGATGGGTTTTTTAATCATGCTACTGTCAGGACAGCTTGATCATGTTAAGGAATCCTTGCAAACAACTTGATATCAAAAGTCTTGATGACATTATAAAAAGACCATGTGACCTTACATCAACTTTAGTCAGTTTTTACATTTTCTGAAGAAAATATCCCTAGGATGTTTTAGGTTAGTATGTAGGTGACCCAAAATTCAATTAATAAAAGAATGTGCCAACTGTCTTTTTTAGAAACAGTAATTTTGACTTAAACTGGTTACAGTAATTAGTAAATATAAGAATCATTTACATAATTCTTATATAATCAGAATATGACTTTCTGATTAAAATCTGAATATTCATGGGCATGGTCTAATCTCTCTCTCTATACATATATTTTTTCAATTCTATTCTATTTTCTATTCTATTCTATTTTTCTTTTCAATTCTATTGTATCCAAAGTAAAACTAAGACTAAAAAGTTAAAATGACAGATACAGTTACATTTATCAGTACAGTGTATGTTATTGTTAAATACTATTGTTAACAAATTGTATAAAAAGGGTCCATATCTTACTAAATACATCTGCGTTTCCTCTAATTACATGTCAGTTTCTCCAAAGACATTTCAATGACTCTAAATTCCCTATTATCGTAAAATTTTCACCATACAGTAAATCGAAAACTAATAGAGGCTTGCAAGATACAAGAGACAAAACTTCAACATCTCAACAAGACAAGCTAACATCAAATCTTCAAACAATCTCACAATCGCTTCTCATTTACAAACACATGATCCTTCAAAAATTAATTACGTCATCATAAACATCCCTTATGTTAATTAAATGTTAATTTATTATATAATTCCTAAAGAGCAAATGCATAATGGGCATTACAATAAGGATACATATATTGACAGGTTCCCACAATAAATAACTTGCTCAACACACTCCTATAGAGAGTAACAAGGCGTATATATATATATATATATATATATAAGTGACGTAATACTTGTAAGAGTGCTAAAATAAGCAAGTAGGGAAAATTAATTCAACGTCAAGATACCAAATGGCAATAAGAAAACACAGATGGAAATCATATGAAAACAGCTTCATTTTGCATGTAACACAGGTTGGAACTTATGTCTGTATTTACATTCAGCTCACACTTTTACTTAAAGCGGGCATCACCATCTCTAAACATCACCAAACTTGAGACAGACTTTTATTGTAGTTTTATTGGTAAGCATATGTCATACATCTATTTGAGCTCGATATTATAGATATACTGGAGCCGAGGGCCCCTGTAGACCAGGTCCAGTCATCACCAGTTCTTCATTTAGATTGCTGGAACCAGGTGTTTAGATGATTCAGTCTGGCTCTGCTGACTAAGAGCATGCAATCAGCACCAGTTCTTTGTTTAGATAGCTGGAACCAGCTGTTTAGATAATTCAGTCTGGCTCTGCTGACTAAGAGCACGCAAGACGCTCTTCCCAGCATCCTCCTGGGCCCGTTCTGAAGGCAAGACTCACTTTATCCCTGAAAGTTGCCCCAGAAGAGCTTGCAGGGCTGGGGAAATTATTTTCCAAGTCCCTCTGTGGTAGCATAAGGAATCTGTCACACAATGGATATTACAGACTCTGTAATATATTTATTCAGATATTTTTTGAATTATATTCAAAGAAATGTTTTTTTTTTAATCCACTTAACTGGGTTCTACAATGGTCTTGGCTGGACTTTATAAATCACAACTAGATTTTTTTTATTTTATTTTACTGTCACTTACCGTGCAAACATTTCACACAGTTGACTTCAGGAATTATTATTATATACATATTATTATTTAAATACATTAACAATAAACACTGATTGTAAAACAGTAAAAGTTAAATTAAAATAATACATATAACCGTATAATAAATAAAACTTTATAATGTTAGAAGCCAAATATTTCCCCAAATTGTAATTATTTATTTATTTACTTACTAACTTGCTTGCTTATTTTTACACAATAATTTTGTTCTTTAAACATATAAATATAGCTGGCTTTTAAATTTTAGGATGGGGTTTCTCACATTAGGTCATATTTGAGCATTCATGGCATCTAGAAGATTAAAAACCTAACGTTATCCTCTCCTTATCTGATGACTCTGGTAACCTTTTTACTTATGAGCAATTTATGACTTCCCACAATTTCCCGATTCCTCCAAAAGAGTTTAATACAGTGGTTAAAGCAATCTCACCTGGGTTAATTCATCTTGTTAAAAGCCACTCCCTATATAATCAAAGAAGAACAGTCACAATACAATCTACTTTGTTCTTGGATGGAATTGATTTTTTAGACAAGAAATGTACAAATAGACATGTACGCCAAATCTTTCAATTCAAGAAAAAAATTTCTCCAAGAGGAAAGTTCTATTGGAGATCTTTGGTAGAAGATATAGATTGGAGAAGGGCCTGGCTTTTACCTGGAAAATACTGTATTTCCAATAAAGCTAAAGAAATACATTTCAAAATTTTACATAAAATATATCCTGTAAACTCTAATATTTCTAAATATCTGGACATTGACAGTTCATGTGGTTTTTGTAAGCAATCAGAAGAGACATTTGCACATTTGTTTTATGATTGCCCAATATCCAAGCAATTTTCATCTGACCTTGGCTCCTATATATTCGATTCAGCCAATGTTACTCATTCTTTCAGTCTAAAAGACATTATTTTTTATTATATTGATGATACAAATAGACCCCTAGAGAATATTGTTAACTTCTTTATTTTATATGGCAAATTCTTTATTCATAAACAAAAGTTTGCAAATAATATTCCATCCTATCCCCATTTTAAAACTGAATTCATATCACTTCTTAAATCTCTTAGTTATATAAATAACAAAGAATCCCAAAGATTTATACAATATTATGAAGAAATTTTTAAAGAAAATACATGCATTTAAAAGCTTTCCCTGTATATTAATGTTTATATGTTATTGTTTCAATAGTGGTAATGTATGCATTCTTGTGTCTCCTTGTCTTGTCATCTTTTGTTTTTTGTATAATATTTTTGTTTTCTCTCTCTTTGTTTTATTATATGTATTTGTATGTAATTCCTTGACAATGTTCTTATGTTATTGAGCATTAATAAAAAAAAAATAATAATAATAAAAAAGACTAAAAACCCCTTCAGGGATCTTTTGTGAAAAAACTTTCTCTCTCTTTGTTTTATTATATGTATTTGTATGTAATTCCTTGACAATGTTCTTATGTTATTGAGCATTAATAAAAAAAATAATAATAATAATAAAAAAGACTAAAAAACCCTTCAGGGATCTTTTGTGAAAAAATTTTTTTTTTTTAAATCATGTCTGGTTAAAGATGTTTCTCTCAGTCCTGCTATGTGTAACTTGAGTTTGCTCAATTTAATTCAACGAGTAATTAAAACATTTTATGCCATGTATCAAAAGTCCCAGAGGAACGGCTTGTCCTTGTCTGATGGGCGCTGGGGAAACATTACCCAACATAATACAATACCGTCCCCTACTGGACCACAACTATCTGAATTCTGATCTATGACTGCCCTCTGTGGAGCCAGTTTGGTCTAGCACACATTTTACAGACACCAATTATTCGAGCCTTTCAACGCACTTCAGATCTTACATTTACCAGAGATTTGCATATAAATCCGACCAGGTATGTAGCAATCCTAACTCACAATGAAGAAGTCTGATTTTGAAGTGCACCGTTCGTGTGCACTGCGTGAGGTTAATTTTTCAATGTGCACATCAGATCGAGTTCATTAGGCGCCAGGAGGAGAGCGTCTATTCGGGTGAAAATGAATGAAGATCAACGCGCCCTCGCGTAGAGACCAGGTGAAGAGAGATTTTTACAGTAAGTATCAATCTCCCAGTCACCTGCAGCTGTCTGTGACGATTGATTTTGCATGCTGCTCGCCTATAGATGAGAAATGATGGCTTGATAATGCATTATATCCACATAATATCCCATATTGGCTTATAGATGCATTTAGCATGAATTGCGTTGGATGCACTCTAATGTATTTCATATCTTGAATGTAATGGTTTTTCAATGAGAACCAGCAGTAGCCTAAAGCCTGCCTCCATCGACAGTAAGGTGGTACTGGCTGCTGTAGTTTTTCGCGGTCTCTCTCAGTATTTTTTTTTTTAAGGAACAGCAGAGGCTCAGCACACAAGGACAGGGAATTAGGAATAAGACCAGGAACTCCTCCTTATTTGCGCCTGTCAGAGGACAGATATATTTGGTACATGCAGCATTTTTAGAGAACGAACAGGTAAATATTGGCACGAGATACTGAGTTGATAAAAGCGCGCGGTGTGATGCGTGCGAATACGGCTCGAGCACACTGCGCGCGACGAATATAAAAAAAAAAAAAAAAACCCAAGCTCGCTTGCAGATGCGTTGATTATTACAACAACGGTCCAGTTGTGTCGCGTCGCGTCGCGTCGAAATGCATCACTCGCTTGCGTTGTAGATCGGGTCTTTTACTGAATGTAAATACAACGATTTAAAAACAAAATGGGGGTGAGTTGATGTGGGAGGAGCGGGGTTAAAACCCAAGAATATGTATCTGTGCACGACCTAATGTGTTTGCAAAACAAGCATGTCCGTGTTTTGTGTGTATTTGACGGAGAAGCGGCGAAGTTAAGGCGAGGCCTTTTGATCGTACGCTTTGATTCGCGGATTCGGCGACGGCCTAGCGATCACGTACCGCTTCCCGACTGAATGTAATGGTGTTAACGTGCTGTGGCTGGCAGGAGGCGGGTCTTTTGTCACATATTTGAGGCGAAAGTTTTTTTTATAGCGGGGAGTAATCGCGCTCTGTGTTTATGCATGTCTGTTTCTTTAAAGCAAGCGCTGCGCCTTTAATTTGTGATTGCAGTGCGGGGTGAATTGAATTGAATTGAATTGAGAAACCGAGAGACCGAGAGAGAGAGGGGCGATGCGCTGCTTCACAGTCGGAATACCGTTCGCAGGCCTTGGGTCATATTTGTGTTAGGCTAAAGGGAGTGATTTCCATGCCTTCTTGGTGAACATAAATAAATACCTTATGGCATGCAGTGCTTATAAACTATTTTTATATGGGTAAACCTAATGAAACCTGTAAAGAACATGTCCAGGTTACATTTCATCCAAAAAAAAAAAAATGTACATTATCCTGCTAATTACATGGCTATTTACCAAATAAATATGCCATACTGATTGGACAGTAAGACGAACACAACAACGGTATTAATTTGTAAATAACGTATTAATCAGGAATCCAAGTTACAGTTTATATGGACTAGTTAGCTGTCTTTCTCCAGTTTATGTAAGTCTCTCTTGCTGTTTTTACCTGGGGACTTGTGTGCTTTTAACCATTAAAGATTATATAATATAATATATAATAATAATAATATAGCAAGGCACAAGGTATACTTTTCATTATCAGCATAGTACATAGCACAGAGTCTGCTTTGAAAGGCTGTGTGATTGGCTGCAAGCATACGCTAAATGTTTCCCAGATAGCACAGGTACGTCTGCAAGATGTCTGTTAAAGATCGCTTCGTCTGCAAAGCATCTGCTGTGTACAAACATCTGATAGTTTTACATACATTCTAAAATCATAAACATCTTAAAGACATGTTCTAAATGTCTATTTGACATCTGATAGGAAACGTCCTATAGACGTATTGCAGATGAGCAAACACAAAAAAAATATGTCTTGCAGATGTAAATGCAGACGTCAAATAGACGTCTCCGTGATGTACATGTGCTTTCAGGATTTGCAATACATCTATAGGACGTTTCCTGTCAGATGTCAAACAGATGTTTAGAAAATGTCTTTAAGATGTTTATGATTTAGAATGTATGTAAAACTGACGTCTGATAGACTTCTATCATATGTTTGTACACAGCAGATGCTTTCCAGATCTTTAACAGACATGTGTGTGCTATATCCATTTTTATTCACAAGATGGCGCCAATCAATATGTGGCGTTTAGATTAGGGATGGGCGATACCCCTTATTTTGTTTTCGAACAAAGGTTATTCATCCAATTCAATGCATATTGTACGCATTATTATTATTATTATTTTTGTTAAATAAACAAAACCACTGGTAAATAAAGCACACCTTAGTATCGATATTTTTTGTTTGAGTATCGATACTTTCGATACTTGCATCAGTATCGATATATCGATACTTCGAATCGATACGCCCATCCCTAGTTTAGATTTTAGTTTTTTTGGTTATACATCATCTCATTACGCAAATTTGCAGATCTGAGTTAACCAGACTTGAACGTTTTGTTCATATGCGTGTCATCGAAAGTCAATGGAGTGAAAAATCCCTCCCTTAAAGCTTAAATTGTGGCCAGAAAGCTGTAACTTTTTGAATGTGCCTAGGAATTAGCTTTGTTCTTGTACTAATTTAGTCATTTTCATGGATAAGACCGTGTCTGTGATCATCATCTGTTGAAGCAGATGGAGACGGTTGAGTTCAGTCACATTCAGAGATGTTAATGAATGAATCATTTTATCTTGATTCGTCTGTAGGTACTCCATCCAGTGGCACTGTGAGTCAAGAGGAGGTGGGTCTGCTCTGTCACTCACACGACTGATATTTTGATTATGTGTTGCCGATTGTTATCTCGATCGAAAGATGATGATGAAAGAAATATTATATTTTTCTCGACAGAAAAGGCAGGATGTCAGCCAGAGGAGGAAAGAAAAAGATCACCAAGCTGTCTCGCTCTTCACGGGCAGGAGTCATATTTCCTGTCGGGAGGATGATGCGTTACTTGCGCACAGGAACCCATAAGTATCGCATTGGCATGGGCGCCCCCGTCTACATGGCAGCGGTCATTGAGTACTTAGCAGGTGGGAATCCAGATTCTCTATGGTTCTGGAATGAAATAATCTTTTACCAAAAAAAAAGTCATTATGCAGTCGTTTAATTATATTACGGTTCTGAGAGTCTCTGTTGCGCTGATATTTTTGTAGCGGAGATCTTGGAGTTGGCTGGAAATGCAGCAAGAGACAACAAGAAGGGGAGAATCACTCCACGACACATCAAGCTGGCAGTGGCCAATGATGAAGAACTCAACCAGGTAATGAATTACATGTTAAAATAGACTGAGGTCGGTTAGGGTTAATGTTTAGCACACTCTTTGTGTCCAAAAACAACTTGCAGTACACTTTTCTTTTTTTTTTTTGCTGTAGGCTACTATGGCACCTTCGCTTGAGTAGCCCACTTTTATACTGGTTAGGCTACACAAACTTATTATATCCACTACTGGTCAAAAGTTTGGAGTAATAAAGGTTTTTTACTGTTTTTGAACAGTCTCTTATGCTCACCAAAGCTGCATGTATTTGATGGGAAAACAGTAATATTGTGAAATATTATTTGTTAAAATAACTGTTTTCTATTGTAATAACTGTAAAATGTAATTTATTCCTGTGATGTCAAAGCTGTATTTTCAGCATCATTACTCCAGTCTTCCACGATCCTTCAGAAATCATACTAATATGCTGATTTGCTGCTCAAAAAAAATTCTTAATATTATTAAAGTTTTTACTGCTTAATATTTTTGTGATATATTTTTTTTCAGGATTCTTTGTTGAACAAAGTTCAAAAGAAAAACATTTATTTGAAATATAATTTTTTGGTATTTATGACCACTTGGTCTTTTTTTAATTTATCCTTGCTGAATACAAGTAGTAATTTCTTCTTAAAAATCAATCAATCAATCAATATTACACCAAACTTTTGAATGGTTTTATAAAGCAGTCCGTACAAAGCAGGAAAAACAATTTTGATAAGAAATATTTTTTGAGCAGCAAATCAGCATGTTAGAATGAAGGATCATGTGACACTGAAGACAGGGAAAAAATACATTCTAAAATAAATTCAAATAGAATAATAGTTGTTTTAAATTGCAATAATATTCCCATAATATTACATTTTTTTCTGTATTTTTTATTAAATAAATGCAGCTTTGGAAAGCACAAGAGGCTTTTTTTCATAACACTAAAAAATATTAATTATTCCAGTATTTTGATTGGTAGTGTAGCTCTGCAAGATGTTTTAGGATCCACATTTTAACAATTGTAGTCCTTGTAGCAATGCCATTGATGAGTTTGTTTTTCTATGTTATTGGATAGTTGCTCAGAGGGGTGACCATATCAAATGGTGGCGTTCTGCCTCGCATCCATCCTGAGCTGCTCTCCAAGAAGAGAGGAGCCAAGGCGAAGGTGGAGACTCAGGTGACCGTTCCCGAGAAAAGGGTGAACCGGAAACCCATCAAGAAACCCAGCAAAAAGAGCAAAGGAAAACCAGGCCGCAAACCCAAAGTGCGTGCAGCGTCATACATAGGTTGCTCTGGTACGGTTTATCTTTGAGAATTCTAAAATATTTTTTTCTTTTATGCAGAAAAGCACAGAGAATGACAAAGAAGCAGATGCCAACACAGCAACTGAAGACGGACCAGGAGAGGGCTTTACTATTCTCTCTGCGAAAAGCTTATTCCTTGGACAAAAGGTGGAAATAGCTGTGCTTATAACACATTACCGAGAATTTTTTTTTTTTTTACACTTACAGAGCACATTATCAAGTCTGTATACCTTTGAATGCAAGGTACATTTAGTAATTTACCTACATACATTTTTTACTTTTTTTACAAACGGTCTTGGATTGCACAAATGAATAGTTGAATCATGGTTTTTGATATATTGCGACTGACACTCTGAACTGAATCACAGTTACAAATGGAACTGGCGGTCGACCGATATGAATTTTTTGATGGCCGATGCAGATATCTTAAGACAGCAGGGTGGTCGCTGGCCAATCTAAAGCTGAAATATATGATAATATAATATTTATTTTACATAGTACTGGTTAAAAATCATTAAAAATAAATATGAAAATTCATTTGAATTGAATTCAAAAATCTCTAACACCATAAGACGTCACCCTAGGGCTTCAGTATACAAAATACGACAAATTATAAAAAGCTCAAAATGTGTAAAATTACCATCTACTCCACTTTACAACAATTTATGTTTATTTTATATAATATCTACTAAAAATAAAATTGAAAAATAATTTGAATTTGATTTTTAAAAATCTGTAAACATTCATACTTCAGATAGGAATTTGTGTTTACAAATAAAGCAGTTATAATAAAATAAAAAGGAAGTAAACACTAACCAACAGTATGCTCAGTACGTGAAAAAGTTTCAGCATTTGCCTTTCAATTATTATACAGAATCTTTAAACAGCGACGATCATTAAGACGAGGGACAGGATTCTTAGCGCTATCAAAAGAAATGATATATCAGCCTTGGCGACCCCTAAATGGAAGCAAATAAAATTCAAATTTGCCACGCAAGACTAAAATTCATCACCCCTCAGAATCATCACAATATTTACAGTTTTGATTCATTTTATATCGGCAGTAAAATCATTATTACTGATTTTTATGGTAGCATTTCTAATACACTGGTGATTTAAGACTTGACAATGTAATAATGTGGTTTGTTTATCAGCTGTCTCTTACAGAGAGTGAAATCGGCAAAATCGGCACAATCAAAGTGGAGGGAATCATCAATCCCACAAACGCAGAGATTGATCTGAAAGAGGGAATCGGTCAGTGCATTACAGTGCTGTTAGCTACTATTAAATTAATGTCAGTTACATTTGCTAGGTGGTAAAATGATAGATTTGTGTAGCAAGTGTCGATTCGCCTGAATATTTAAAAAGATGTTTAAGCCTCTTTTTAAAGGATATGGCGAAAGCTAATGTATTTTCTGTGCTGTGACCCAGGTAACGCTCTGGAGAAAGCAGGAGGAAAAGATTTCCTAGAGACCGTCAAGGAGCTGAGAAAAAGCCAGGGTCCTTTGGAGGTTGCATCAGGTTGAAGTCACACACATTTCTTGACTCAAGCAGACACAAATTAGTGTGTGTGCTCTAGCAATGTTCAAAGGGGCAGGAAATGACCTAGTTAAATATTTGAATATAGAAAAAAGTACAGCCGTCATGGAAACCTAGTGATACCAGTAGGGATGTAACGATTAACCGCGAGCCGGTTGAAAATCGATTCAAATATGTGACGATTCAAATCGGTTGAGATGCTAAACAAATCGCAATTCATTTAGGTGTAGGAGTTTATAAGAATCCATGTCTGAGGGGAACTTACTGTCTTTAGAAAAGTTTAGATGGTATTTTTTCTTTTCATCTTGCCTCTGTATAATGCATATTAAAGTTCATAAGTTCAGCGCTGCTTTGTTTACAGCGGAAACCAAGGAAACACTTTAAGCGCCACCTGCTGGCAGAGAGTGAATCTGCGTCTCATTCAGCTCGTCTGCTGTTTCGGTTTCATGCAGATATTTTTATGTAGTTTCACAAAACTGAAGTCAAACCATTCTGTTTTTGCTTCAAATTTTGAAATTATACAATCTAATTTAGATTAAAAACTGCTCCTGTTGCATGTATGCAGCATCTTTGTTTGGATCCTGATTAAAATGCAGTGGTTGCCTCTCATTTTAAATGGAAAGAGCGCAGACAAAGCCTTATTTTGTTTATGGCTTTCAGATCAATAGGCAACTAGATTTGAAGCTCATTTACTGCATGGCTATGTTTCGAAGTGATTGTGGCGAGAAATAGTTCCCAGAAAATGGAAATCATCTCACCTCTTTGGTTTTTGTTCCGACAGAAATGGTTTCCCAAAGCAGACAGCAGCCCAGCTAATACTGAAGGCCATTTCGAACCATTTTGTCTCAGCAACCACCTCCTCCCTGAAGAACATTTACTTTGTTCTGTTTGACAGCGAGAGCATTGGGATATACCTGCAGGAGATGGCAAAGATGGACGCCAAGTGATGTTGAGTCATGGGTTTGATTTCTTTTGAAAGTGTAACGCCTCGATGCAGCTCTGTTTTAGCTTTGCTTTGACTGGTTTTGTCGGCCTCGCCGTCGTGGGAAGGTGAAATGAGTTAAACGTGAGCTTTAGCGGAGAGTGCATCCAGGCTAGTAGGAGCGTACTAAGTGGAGTGTAGTGCAGCTTGGTGAAAGATGTTGTAGGTATATGTTTTTGACAACAGATTATTTGAAGGTGTTTAAACAAGGATATTTGTGAGTGATGTACTGTACACATTTATGTTTCACTGTTCTCCTTTAAAGAAAAGACATTCATTTAGACTAGATCAACTTAATCTTCATCGTTTGCCATTTTTATCCTTAGACTGATCTTGTTTTTACATTCCATGTTCAGAGTTGAACTTTTGACCGTTGTTTTTTGCCTAGATATATCATGTGTGGTTTCTGACTGTTTTGGTTTATCAAAAAAAAAAAAAAAAAAAAGGGTTTTTTGTTCTGCTTTGAAATAAAAAAATGTTTTACACCACAGGCTGAGCTCTCTTTTTCCACACCATTAATTTACTCAGCCTCATGTCGTTTCAGTCCTGTATGACTGACTTTCTTCTGCAGAACATAAAAGATATCTTGAAGAATGTTGGCAACCAGTTTCCGCTGGACAAAAATACACTACATTCCACAGAAGAAAGTAAGTCATACAGGTTTGGAACGACATGGTGAGTAAATGACAGAATCCCTTTTAATGTCCAAAACTTGTCATCGTTTACTTCCAAACCCCCGTTTTCTTTAATGAATCAAAGATCAACATCCACGCAGCTGTTTCCCACAAAACTGAAGGGAATGTTTATTATACCATCAAAATCATGAAGTATTCCATATAGATACAGACTGAAATGCAAGTTGTGAACTGCTGAAAAACTTGCCTCAAACTCTCATTTTCTCTGATGTTTCTTGAAAGATTAGATGCATCAGGTGTGATGTCATCAATGGCAAATACTAATGGGCTCTCAACAAGGCACCTGACATGGATTACTTTAGCTTTTTAGTCCTTTGAGGAGCTTGGTGGTATAAATCAACCTCCATTGTAGATTAAAGAGATAGTCTGCACAAAAATGGAAATTGTCATTTGCTCACCCTCAGGTCGTTCCAAACCTGCAAGACTTTGCGGGTAACCAAAGAGTTTTGGTTCGTTTTTGGCCATTGATTTCCAGTCTATGGAGAGAAAAAAAAAAAATTCTGGAAGCATGAAAAACAATTTAAATTTTTGGCTGAGCTTTATTCTCCTGTTTGGGTCTTAGCTTCCTAAATAATTCAAATTAAATGAAAGTAATAAAACAATTGACATGCAAGAGAAAAACAATTACACAACATTAGGATATTTTACCATTTATTTATTACATTGTAAAAAGTACATTAACTTTTATTCATATATATATATATATATATACAGATTATTTTTATTGAATTACCAGTTGACTACAGAATTGGTTCCTGATGTATCTAAGAATGCAGTACAACAAGTGAACATACAAAGAAAAGAAAACGTCCATCTGTCCACAGCCACCTCTTAGGTTTGTGATGGTGTGATCATTGATCTGCTGTCACTGCAGTGACAATCTACATTAAATTAGTCTCATTCTCTGACGAACCTACAGTCTCGGGA